AGAAATAATGGAAGTCTGAGAGGATAAAATTATCTTCACCTGGGAAAAACACAGCAAACCTAGAATTTTATGCTCAAAAGTAATATCCTTCAGAATCATAAATAAGCATGTTTTCAGATAAGCAGACAGAAAATCTGTTGACAGCTGTTTACCAAAAGAAATACTAAAAGAAGTTCTATAAGCCAAAAAAAAAGGGGGGGTTCTCACAGGAAAATATAAAAATGCAGTATAAGTAAAGCAGGTAAATATATGGGTAAATCTAAGCAAACACTGACCATATAAACCAATAATAATATCTACTGAGCATTAAAGCATATGTACAATGAAAATTCAGGACAAGAGTTAAAAAGCAGGAGAAGTGTAAGTACAGTTCGAGTGTTCTGAGTCCTTAGCATTGTTAGGGAAGTGGTAAAAGAAAATATTTTCAGTAGACTGCAGTAAGTCAGTATGTGTTGTAATCTCTAAGGCAACCACTAAAAGATCAAGATTGTCAGAATGAATAAAAAAATAAACACACTAATGAGAAACACATCTTCAATAAAAAAACACAGAAAGGTCAAAAGTAAAAGGATAGAAAAAGATTGTACCATGCTAGCATTAATCAAAAGAGAAATGATGTCAGCCAAACTACATTTTTAGACAAGAAGTATTATTAGACACATTCAGGGCATTTCATAATAATAAAGGGACCAACTCACCAGGAATTAAAGCTAACAATGCATACACCCAATAACAGAACATCAAAATATAAACCATGCAGGTTGGCAAATTTGTACATACTTCTCTAGTTTAGTAATTGATTAAAAAAGTAAACAAAGGAAAAAATTAGCAAAAATAAAAAGATATGACCAAGATGCATAAATTTTAGTATAATGACCTATACAGAAAACTGCATCCAGGGCAGGGCATCTGCCTTCAAAATAGGTCATGATTTCTGAGTCCTGGGACCAAGTACTGGAGAGGGTTCCCTGCTTCTCCCTCTACCCCTCCCCACCGCTTGTGCCCTCTCTCATTCTCTCACACTCCCATATCTCTCCCCCTCTTGAATAGATAAAAATCTTAAATAAAAAAGAGAACTGCATCCAATAACAAAAGTGTGTGTGTGTGTGTGTGTGTGTGTGTGTGTGTATTCATCTCAACTGAACATGGCACATTTACCAAAACTACTATATGCTGAATTAAAAAAAAAAAAATCCTGGGGCGCCTGGGTGGCTCAGTGGGTTAAGCCTCTGCCTTCAGCTCAGGTCATGATCTCAGGGTCCTGCGGTCGAGCCCCACATTGGGCTCTCTGCTGAACGGGGAGTCTGCTTCCCTCTCTCTACCTGCCTCTCTGCCTACTTGTGATCTCTCTTTCTCTCTGTCAAATAAATAAATAAAATCTTTAAAAAAAAAAAAATCCTGATTTCAAAGGATTGAAATCATTCAGACTATGTTCTCTAGCCTCAGTGGAATTAACCAAGTAATCACTAAACCAAACCTATTAACAACTATGTGAAAATTAAGCAACTATAAGGACATTAACTCTTGAATTAAAGTAGAAATTACAGTGGAAAACAAAGTATTTGAAAGAATGATAATGAAGAAAAGACATAAAACTTGTAAATGACATGCAGCTGAAGCTATACTTGGAGTTATGTGACCTTAAAGGCTTATGTTAAGAAGAGGGACAATAATTAAGTATCTATCTCAAAAAACTAGCAAAAAAACAAAAAGTTAAATATGAAAAAAGGCAAAAAGTTAAAAAAGAACAGAATTAATGAAATCACAAGCAAAGGTGTTATCATAAAACTTCAGAAGAAGAATCAAAAGTTGATTTTTGGAAAGATCAGTAAAGTTGATTTTTGGAAAGTAATCCTCAGTAAACAAGATTCTACAGGACAAGCTGGAAGAAAAAAAGTCACAAACTGTCAATTTCAATAATTAAAAAGGAGGAAATTGTATAGGTCCTACAGAAAAGTTATTTATGCAATCATTTATGAAGATTTATTGCAAAGATAATAAAGTTAAGCCAAAGTTAAAGAACTGAGATGTAAAAGGCTCACTCGTAGACTGCTGTTAATTTATGACAATGATAAAACCTGAAAAAGATAGTTTTTTGGTTAAAATGCTGTTGCGCCAACAGGATATGCATATTTAAAAAAAAAAAGTGGGGGGGATATTTACTTCTTCCTTGCTCCATACACAGAATCAAGTCCATGTGTATGTTACATGTAACAGTGAAAGATATAACAATAAAGCTTTTGGGAGAAAAAGATAAGCAAATGTATTTATGCCCCTAGGACAGGCAAAGATTCCTTAAACATGTCCAGAAAAAAAAAAAAAAGAAAGAAAGAAAAGCACCAATCAAAAAGAAAAAAAAAAACTGACACATATAAATTAATATAAATTAATATAAATTAAGAACTTCTGTTCATTAAAGATAGCATTACAATAGTAAAAAGGTAAGATACAAATCTATTTCTGTAAGCTATACATCCAACATAGCCAGGACAGAGAACAACTAGAAATCACTAAGAAAAAGAAAAAAGCCAATAGAAAAACAGGACAAGACTTGAATACAATTTAAGAGGCTATCAAAATAGTTAATAAATATGAAAAGATACACATCATTATTATTCCTCACATCAGAAAAATACAAATTAAAACCACAAGGGCTATTTCATCACTATCCACAAAAACAGCCACAATGAAAAGGATAAACAATACCAACTGTTAGCAAGAATGTGGAGTAACTGGAATTCTCATACACTGCTACTAATGTAAATTGGTACTGGCACTTTGCAAACTGTTTAACAGTATCTACCAAGCTTACCACATGAACACCTTATAATCCTGCAATTCTAACTGTAGGTATGGAATTAATATAACTGTATATACTGATCAAAAGACATTACAAGAAAATTCATAGTAGTACTCTTTCTAAAACAGAACTGGAAACAACCTAAATGTCATGTCTATCAACAGAAAAAAGAATAAACTATGGTATAGTCACATTTTAACAGTATAAGCAATAAGATGAGTGAAATACTGCTACATCCAACAACGTGGATAAATCTCACAAATGTAAAAAGTTTATAAACACAAAAGAATATATGCTATGTTACTCAATTTATATAAAATCTAATTTACATAATCAAAAATTGAAAAATAATCTATGGTATAAAAAGGGAGGATCATGTTTATTTTGGGAGAGGTGGCATGGGTATTATTACACTGGCATGGAAAAAGGACTTCTAGGATGCTGATAATAATATTCTGTTCTCAAATTTAAAGGGGTGCCTGGGTGGCTCAGTCTGTTAAGTGACCAACTCTTGGTTTCAGTTCAGGTCATGATGTCAGGGTCATCGAACCCTGTAACTGGCTTCTCACCCAGCCAGCCTGATCAGGAGTCTGCTTGAGATTCTTTCTTTCCTGTTGCCCCCTCCCCTCACACACTCTCTTTTTCTAAAATAAATCTTTAAAAAAAATTAAATAAAGATGGATTACACAGGGATTATGGTAATGGTAATAATGTACTAATAGTACTATTACACACAGTATCACACATATACAATACCAATTAATATAATAACTATTAATACATCAGTACTACTTGTTAAAATTCACTGGGATAAAGACTTACGATGCTAAACTTTATATATGTTATACTTCAATATTTTATCTTTAATTGCATACTTAAAAAATAGTAATTCAAACACAGAAAAACTCTTCTTACTAAAACTTTCATTTTAACATTAAAAGGGAACATGCTTAATTGTATTTTGATACACATGCACAAACAATGTTACGCAAAGTTATATCCACATTAGACACCTCATAATGGTATATTGCCAACTGCTGCCCTCCCCCTCATCCATTACATCATCATAAACTCAATATCCCTTAACCCCCATTACTGCCAAATATTTGCAAAGGCCAAAACTGTGCTATGTTATGTTCCACACCACAGCCTAAGACTCTATGATCATTACTAGCACCTGCGTCAATGTATGACTGACCCAGGACCTAGTCCTATCTCATTTGTTCTGTCTTCCTGTGACTAATAACTCATGACCACTGAGGTAAGAGGTATGTTGGGAATTCATGCTTCTGCCTCTTTGGTATGTGTATTTTTATACATCTCAGGGTTTTATCACCATTTTTTACTTTTTCTATTGTGTTAAACTTTTTAATCATATACATCATTTTTAACTTTTCAATAATAAAAAAATCAGAATACTTTAGTCTCTCTTCATATAAAAAGCCTTTTCATCCCCAATTACCACAGGCATTATTCTAAAACTCATACAGTTTTAAGTTCCTTAAAGCAATTAAACTAAATACAGATATTATCTCAAAAACAACTGCATATGATTTTATCCAAAAATTTTCTGTCATGTTCCTATCATATTTCTGTAATTCATAAGCTGGATAAGCTTTCTGCTGGGAAATTTCCTCTTATATCTAAACTTAATAAGCAACACTAAAATATGTATTTATTCTTGCTTTATTGTTATCTCATCCTGGCCACATGTTATTTTGTGTGGGAAAAAAAAAAAAAAACCACCATGAAAACTCCAGTTATTAGCATTGCTGCCTATACATAAAGTTAACAAGCAATTCACTTACATACTTGATTCATTTACTATTTCAATATTTATACAGGTTTTTTATTTCTGTGACAATTCACATCAATGTCACCTGCCTCCCTATGGTAGGTGGTAAACATTCACTTTCTTTTCTAAGAACCACATACAAACCTTATATAGAAGTGCTTTGAGAACCATGAGAAACTACCCACTCCAGGAAACAAACTGAGGGTTTTATAAGGGAGAGGGTTGGGGGGATGAGTGAGCCTGGTGATGGGTATTAAGGAGGGCCCGGATTGCATGGAGCACTGGGTGTTATACACAAACAATGAAACATGGAACACTACATCAAAAACTAATGATGTATGGTGACTAACATAATAAAAAAAAATAAATGAAAAGATAATAAAAAATTAAAATAATTGAGATCGATCTAAGATGGCGACTGTGGAACCGGAAACCACCCTTACTCCTAATCCCCTGCCTACAGAAGAAGAGAAAACAGAATCTAATCAGGAGGTTGCTAACCCAGAACACTATATTAAACATCCTTTACAGAACAGATGGGCACTCTGGTTTTTTAAAAATGATAAAAGCAAAACTTGGCAAGCAAACCTTCGGCTGATCTCTAAGTTTGATACTGTTGAAGACTTTTGTGCTCTGTACAACCACATCCAGTTGTCTAGTAATTTAATGCCTGACTGTGACTACTCACTTTTTAAGGATGGTATTGAGCCTATGTGGGAAGATGAGAAAAACAAACGAGGATGGCTCATTACATCGAACAAGCAGCAGAGACGAAGTGACCTGGATTGCTTTTGGCTAGAGACACTGCTGTGCCTTATTGGAGAATCTTTTGATGACTACAGTGATGATGTATGTGGAGCTGTTGTTAATGTTAATAAGATAGCAATATGGACTACTGAATGTGAAAACAGGCTGTCACACATATAGGGAGGGTATACAAGGAAAGGTTAGGACTTCCTCCAAAGATAGTGACTGGTTATCAATCCCATGCAGACACAGCTACTAAGAGCGGTTCCACCACTAAAAATAGGTTTGTCGTTTAAGAAGACACCTTCTGAGCAGTCTCATAGGAGACTGCGTCAAGCAATTGAGATTTGGGAGCTGAACCAGAGCCTCTTCAAAAGCAGAGTGGACTGCATTTAAATTTGATTCCATCTAAATGTTGCTAAGATATAAGAGAAGTCTCATTCGCCTTTGTCTTGTACTTCTGTGTTCATAGATTTTTTTTTTTTAATTTGGCTAGAGTGTCCACTATCCCAATCAAAGAATTACAGTACACGTCATCCCCAGAATCCGTAAGTGTGTTCCTGGCCCACTCTGTAATAGCTTAGTAGAATTACCATTACAAACACATTTTACCTATCCACAATATTCAAAAAAGAACTTGCATTTCTATACCTTACAGGAAAAAAAATTTTATGTTCCATTGTATGCAGGAGCATATTTTGCTGGTTTGAAAGAGTATGATACATACAGTTTTCTAGCAATTTTGTTTCTTCTTACAGCATTGTCTTTGCTGTACTCTTGCTGATGGCTGCTAGATTTTAATTTATTTGTTTCCCTACTTGATACCATTAGTGATTCTGATTTCAGTTTTTCATTTGTTTTGCTTTTGTTTTTTTCCTCATGTAACATTGGTGAAGGATCCAGGAATATGACACAAAGGTGGAATAAACATTAATTTTGTGCATTCTTTGGTAATTTTTTTGGTTTTTGTAACTACAAAGCTTTGCTACAAATTTATGCATTTCATTCAAATCAGTGATCTATGTGTGATTTCCTAAACATAATTGTGGATTATAAAAATGTAACATCATAATTACATTCCTAATTAGAATTAGTATGTCTGTTTTTTATCTTCATGCTGTTTTTTAACACTTTGTATTACTTAGGTTATTTTGCTTTGGTTAAAAAATGGCTCAAGTAGAAAAGCGGTCCCATTCATATTAAGACAGTGTACAAAACTGTAAATAAAATGTGTACAGTGAATTGTCTTTTAGACAACTAGATTTGTCCTTTTATTTCTCCATCTCTATAGAAGGAATTTGTACCGCTTATTGCCAGGCAGTCTCTATTGTGTCTTCTTGTGGTGCCTTCCACGTGAACAGCATAAGTTTGGAGCACTAGTTTTGATTATTAAGTTTATTAAAATTTTTAATAAATTGAATAGGTAGCACCATATGTATGGAAAAAAAATTTAAGAAAATTTTTAAAAAAAGAAGTGCTTTACAAAAGCTGTTTTTATAACTATGAAATACCAACATCCCAGGAATTAGAAAAGGAGAAAAGCTACCGTATCTTACAAAAGGAAAACTGAACCAAGAGGAAATTAAATATAGTGATTCACTAAAACCATTAAAAACAGAAGCTAAGGTTTTCTGAACTCTAATCTATGGGTTCTTCCTCCATGTACTACTTCCCCTACAAGCACTAGGCGGATAGAAGCCAAGCTACTTAAATTACAGTTTCTCAACATGTTTCAAAAACAATGTTTACTAAACATGTAATTAAGTTTAGGAAAAGCAGAGTTAAATGAAAATGGTTTTTTTTTTTAATCACAATAAAAATAGGAATCTTGTACCATGTGCATTCTGAATTTCCAAGAACACGGATCCAAATTATTTAACTATCGAAAAAGTCACAGAACACTAATTCTTACAATTGAACAATGCAGTGCACAATTTAGGAAACGCGACGAAACACTTAATTGGACACTGGTTAGTTAGTAATTCCCTCTTCTTGTTCCAACTGCTTTCTTCTAATGATAAAATCTCTACCTTAATTTTGTAAGGTTTTTATTAAATAATTATTAATATTTTAAAATAAAGCATAACTTACTTTTGAATACACTGAAGTAAAGAACAAGAATACTAAGCTAAATGACTGCTTAAAAACAGACCTAAACATTTACTATTAGGAATAAAAATATTCTCATCTAAATTACTTCTCTTTGCTATTCTGAAAATGCTACTACTTTGCTATGCCTTCTCCTTTGCTACCATTCTCTTGAAGAATGTAGCCTCAAAATTCCCATAAACCAAACTTATTTTAAACTCCTTAAAACTTAACTTAAAACTCCTTTAAGCCACTTGCAATTTTTTGTCAGGTATATAAGGAATTTAGAAGTTGCTACTCTATCTTAACGACAAGTAAAAAGCTGAACAAACTGAAAAGTCAACAATTCCTCTCGGATCCATCAGAGAAATGAGGTCATAGGGCAAACCACTGCCCCCAAAATTGAGAGAAGAACAGGTGATTAATGAGAATCCTAACTTACCTGAGCAGAAACATCCCTGTGGAAACAGCACCACAGTAGGAAAACCTAAACTGCAATTAAGGAATTACTGGATGTCCGGTGTGAACAACTCTTGAGAGTTAAAAACTCCATGGGGGACCCAGTAAGGGAGGGGAGGAAGCAACACCTTTGTGAGTTATACTTTCAAGACCGCTATCAGGTCCTCACAGTAAGAATCTGAGAAAAGTCATCTCATGCTTCTGGAGGGGGAGGGAAATGAACCACTTTGAAATATTCCAGAGCAATCTATTCTTAACTAGGCCTGCACCCAAAAGAAATTAATTTATCAATGCCTAGCCTACTGGGGGTCTTATCAAGAGTCCAAACTACCTAAAGAAGGGAAATAACCAACTCAAGCCAGCTCTGGTCTACCATGTAGGGAATGGGAAATATTCTAGCCCTCTATAGGCATCCTCTCCCACCTAAACAGATAAAAAATAAACAAACTGATAAACACTGACTTCACAGTCCAGGGGCACAGGATCACCAAAGAACCAAGACCTAATCACAGGACTATAGAACACTTCCTTCCCCCAACACTTTAGCACTACATTGTTAAAGGCCTATCTACCACAGTTACCTTTATCCAGTACATCATGTCTACCTTCCAACAAAAAATTACAAGACACACTAAAAGGCAAAAACACAACTTGAAAAGACAGAGTAAGCATAAGACCCAGACTCCAATGTGGCAGGAATGATGGAATTATGCGACTAGAAATCTTTTCTTTTCAACCTGTTATTAATATGCTAAAAGTTTTAATGGAAAATTTAGATAAGAACAAAAGGACAATGTAAATTCTATGAAATAATCAAAAAGAAATGTTAGAAATTAAAAAACACTGTAACAGAAATGAAGATTGCCTTTGATGGACTCATTAATAAACTGGAAATGATAGAAAACAATTAATGAACTTGATATAATAATAGAAACTTCCATAACTGAAAAGCAAAAAGAAAAATTGTTGAAAAATAATGGAAAAGAACACCTAAGAACTGTGGGACAACTAAAAAAGATATAATATATGTAATGGAAATACCAAAGGAGAAGAAAAAAAGAAAGGAAGAAAAGCAGTATTTAAGCAATAAAGACCACAAATTTCCCCCAATCAACGTCCAATATCCTGGATACTCAGAAATATCAAGAAAGACAAACACCAAAAGAACTATATACCTAAGCATATCATATCATGTTCAAACCTCACAAATCAAACATTTAAAAAAGAAATTTTTTTTTTTTTTTTTGCAAAGAAAAATTTTTGAAAGAAGCTAGAGGAGAAAAAACACCTTACTAATAGAGGAGCAAAGATAAGAATTAAATCCAACCTATCCCAGGAAACCATGCAAGAAAGAAGAGAGTGGAATGAAATATTTGAAGTGTTGAGAGAAACCACCAACCTAGCATTCTATACCCTGTGAAACTATCCTTCAAAAAGATAGGCGAATTGGTTGAAAGTATATGCACTTTCCATGAAAAGTTAAAAGAAGTTCTTTGAAGGAGAAACTACTGATACAGGTCAAAAAAATCAAACAGCCATACAGAAAGAACATTTGAGAATGATTAACTAAAGGTAAAATAAAGTTTTAGGGGCGCCTGGGTGACTCAGTGGGTTAAAGCCTCTGCCTTCCGCTCAGGTCATGATCCCAGGGTCCTGGGATCGAGCCCCGCATCGGGCTCTCTGCTCCGCAGGGAGCCTGCTTCCTCCTCTCTCTGCCTGCCTCTCTGCCTACTTGTGATCTCTGTCTGCCAAATAAATAAATAAAATCTTTAAAAATAAATAAATTAATTAATTAATTAAATAAAATAAAGTTTTATATGTCTAAATCTTAACCAACCTAAACATATAAGGTTTTTCAAAATAGTAACAGCAACAATATATTTGATTACATATCCTTACCTGTATGTCATATATCTATATATCTATATAGACATAAGTGAAATGAATGGCAACAATGATACAAGGGACAAGAAAGAAGAACTGGGAATATTTTTATTATAAAGTACTTCCATCATCTGTGAAGCAGTATAGTATTTGAAAATGGACTTGGATTAGTTGCAAATGTACATTTGCAAACTCTAGGGGGAAAAAAAATCAAAAAAGGAAAATGCTAAGTATAATTGATATGCTAATCAAAGAAAAAATGGAAGCATAAAATGCTCAAAACCACAAACGGCCAAGTGTGTTAGACAAAAACAGGAACAAGGAACAAGGGCAACAAACGGAACACAGTAAAAATAAGGTGGCTATTCGTCCAACTATATCAATAGTCACATTAAAGGTCAAAGTTCTAATGCACTAATTAAAAGACAGAGATTGCTAAAGTGGATCAAATATCAAGACCCAACTGAATGTTGTCTACTAGAAATCAACTTTAAATAGAAAGATACAGAAATATTACAAGTAAAGAGATGGAGATCTCGCAAGTTCTCACCACAAAGGGGAAAAAAAACAGTCTAACAAGAAGAACAAAAAAGAGTAAAGAGATGTAGAAAGATACACCAGGCAAATACTATTTAAAAAATAATTTTCAGGGGCACCTGCATGGCTCAGTCTGTTATGTGTCTGCCTTCAGTTCAGGTCATGATCTCTGGGTCCTAGGATAAAGCCCTGAATCAGGATCCCTGCTCAGCAGGGAGTCTCCTTCTCCCCTCTCTTCTGCCCTTCCCATGCCCTGCTTGTGCTCCCGCTCCCTCTTCCTCTCAAATAAGTAAGATCCTTAAAAAAATAAAATAAAATATGCCTTAAG